CATTTCAGGGACTCATAAAGGAAAATAGACGCTGTCTGGCTTGGGAGGAGCACTCTAAAGTTCCGATCACTTTTGTAAGCACATGGTTGCTAACGGGAGAACACATATGAAGCTGGGAAATGGCACAAGTGAGTTACTTTGGTACAAGTTTTAACAGAAGCTCAGGGGCCCTGTACAGGCTACGCTAAGTCTGGTCTTTTAGTGCACCCACCAAGCCGAACTGCACCGAAATACAATACTCGAACTCACTTGGTTGGTGATTTGGCGCATCACATTCGAGTTTCGCACCACCGTTGTATAGAGGTACGACGTTGCCGCGATGAGGTCGGAATGAGTCCATGAATGCCGGCTTGAGCAGTATTGACGGTCCCCTGGAAAAAAATAGGTAGGCTCAGTATTTTATCATTAGAAACCCATACAACGCTAGTTGTCTCTAGTCTCTGCATCTGATACGTTGGGCCAAGTACCTTAGAAACTACTTCAACAGGCTCTAGACTGGATACTCATACCACAGTGTTAGGCTGTTGAATGGTAAAGGTAAGTCGCTGAGGGTGCTGCAGCTCGGAAGTGCCCACTGTCGCTCGCTTTGCACTAGTAGCTCGATAAACCAGGATATGGCAACACAAGCTTTGCTAGTTGTCGCTTGGTCTCGCCAAGTGTCGCATCTTCCAATAGTCCCGCAAGGCTGCCTCACTGATTGCTAGTCACTGAAGAAGCTCGCGGTGTGATCGAAGTTCAGAGAAATCGCTGAGATGGCGCGATCTGAGCGACTCATCGGTAGCAGAAATAGGGCCCTATTTTGCATCGATTTCACTGACTAGCCAATAACAGCAATGACGTGCAGTCTTCCACTCTGTAGGCACTAGGGCCTTTTGGGGTGGAGGGGGGGTGGGTTCGACTTGGTGCCAGCCGCTTCTCCACGAATGCTGCCATCTTCCGGTGATCGCAGAACAGCTAGAATTGCGCGGCTCCTCTGTGAACCACGAACGAAGTAAACTTTATAAATGGAGCCGTTCCAAGTCCCTATCACTCGCGCAGACTATTTAACGCTGATGAGTTTGGGAGAAGGAATTTAAAGGAGTTTTGGCGCGCAAGTAGAATTGCCGTAATGACAAGGAGCTCATGTATCATCCTAAACGAGGAGGGAGCTCCGGGTTAGGCGAACCATAAATTAAGTAACTGTATTTCCATGACACCCCCACTTGGCCCGTAATTTAGTCACTGGGATGGAAACAATCCCTTTTTTGCACAAGGAACCCTTTGAATGACCTCTTCAAAGGTTATTGGCTTGAATGTTCTGTTAAAATGAAAGCCGTTTGGCTGGTTTGTGAGTTAGAGCCAGACTTTCTTGCTGGGGAAAATTTTCCTAAAATACGATTTCCTCAAAATCCCCCGTCTGGTATGCTACATCCTTCCCCATCCTCGAAATTCCCGCCCGAAGCCGTCTGTATCATCTTCCCCATGCAGCTATCCACCTACACCTTCGCGGATTTTCCCAACTTCCCAGAAACACTTTCGTCCATTTTTTTTCTTCATTACGGACCCAACTCGACGGGGGGAGGGACGCTGAAACGGGAAAAATGAAAAAAACAGCAAAAGGAAAACTTCTCACACATGAATATGATACCAAAAGGACAAATCTCCTCAAAAATTGACCGCTCCTGGTAACGATCACATCTTCGCAATCAGACTTCCTACACACCATTCCCGAATGTTCCCAATTTCCTACCTTTTTTTCTCAGAAGAGCAACTCAAGCAATGAGGGGAAGCGCACATGAAACAGGAAATCTGAGAAAATCAACAAAAGGAATTTTTTTCTCAAAGGTAATTACGACTCCTTCCCGCCAGCAATCCAACATTACCTCCCTCCCCCCCCGTGGGGATCCCGCACGCGACGTGCTCTAGTTATATCTTAGGAGTACTGCCACTTCACTAACAGATCAACGAATGTTGGTCTCACATGTTGCTTCGTATTCCAGAGGCGTGGGGATACAAATGGATCAAAAAAGAATCCAGACAAACCTGACTTCACCATGCTGATTTTTTGCGGTGCAGTGGAACGAAGAATAAGCCAGTGATTGATCGGCTGGAACTAGCAGAGATCCACCAGACAAGAGATATGGCACACTGGAACCGGAAGGTGTCACCTAAAAAGCTATCTGACGTCGAGATAGAGCTTGTTTTTTATCTGCCCAAGAAGAATGGAAGGCGAGGTTATCCCGCTCATACACTCTCTTAGTTGTTCTTCCTGTTCCTAGGAATACCCAGTTCCTCTGCTGAAACAGAAAACATCTTAGGGACGCGAAAATTTTGGCCACAATATACCCTTTACTGCCTCCCCCTACTGAATACTTCGGTCACAGTTTAACCGACAACTTTTCCTTGAGCGGATATGGCTGGAATTACGTTTTCTGGTGTAATTCGACCCCCTCGATTATGCTGGACGCTTGACTCAAATTGTCTTTCGTCAGCACCAGGGAAAAAGTTCCTTTTTCAGTTTGACTTCTTGAACGGCTCAGAAGAGGATCTACTACTGAAATTCGGCCTAAATGTCGAAGAGTGGGGCAGTTAAGGGTAGGTTGTGACGAAAGTTTTCACTAACCACTACTTCCCCATCTTTTCTCCATTGATTCGACCTCCCCATTGAAAACAACTTTAAGAACTCCAAAAACTGCCGTCTAGAGAGTAGGGGGTGCAAGCGTAGAATACTGTCACCAATCAACTATTAGAATGGGTAAAAACTCGGGTATGAAGGGAGTGTATAAGGGGCGAAAGATGCGTGCACGTGAAACATTAACCATCTTCAAATATTCGGGGCCCAAACACGACCCTCTCCGGACCCGTTGACCAAATATAATCCCCTGATGAGAGTTCCTCAACGATGATGCGCCGTGTATGGAAGATAGGTGGAATTTCTGTCAACTTACCACATCGATGTCATTTTTGAACCAAGTGATCGTCGGTGGAGGGTTACCTTCAGCAGCACACGGTAACACGACGTAGTCGGCATCATCACGGGAATGGAAGAACACCTCGCTTGGAGCTGACGAGACAAGACGAGGGGCTCCTTAATTATATATCGATAAATTCAGTGTGTTTTCACTTCTTCTCATTCCAGTTAAGCGTT